GGCCGTGACAGACTTTGTATTTCTAGGTGCAAAGATTACTGCAGATGCAGACTGTGGCCAGGAAATCAGAAGACGCTTACTTCTTGGGAGGAGAGCAATGTCCAGTCTCGATAAAATGGTGAAGAGTAGAGACATCAGACTGGCAAAAAAGATCCGCCTAGTCAAAGCCATGGTATTCCCTGTAGTAACCTACGGATGTGAGAGCTGGACCTTAGGGAAGGCTGAGCGAAGGAAGATCGATGCTTTTGAGCTGTGGTGTTGGAGGAAAGTTCTGAGAGTGCCTTGGACTGCGAGAAGATCCAACCAGTCCATCCTCCAGGAAATAAAGCCCGACTGCTCATGGAGGGAAAGATATTAGAGGCAAAGATGAAGTACTTTGGCCACATCATGAGAAGAAAGGAAAGCTTAGAGAAGACAATGATGCTGGGGGAAATGGAAGGAAAAAGGAAGAGGGGCCAACCAAGGGCAAGATGGATGGATGGCATCCTTGAAGTGACTGGACTTGACCTTGAAGGAGCTGGGGGTGGTGACGGCCGACAGGGAGCTCTGGCGTGGGCTGGTCCATGAGGTCACGAAGAGTCGGAGACGACTGAACGAATGAACAACAACATTGTCAGTGGGAGCTGTTTCTTTTTAATTCTAATAGAGGGGAATAGCCAGTGGGACATATTTGTGGTGTAGAACATTAGAGGAGGGAGGGATGGGACTGACTGGAAGGTAATAGTTGCTGTATGCCTTCAAGTCACAAACCAGATTAAGGTAACCCTATGGCAACCCAATCATGGGGTTTTAAGGGGCTTAAGAGGATGTGACTTATTCAAGGTCATCCAGTGGATTTCCATGGCTATGCAGGGAACTGAACCCTGGTCTTCAGAATTGTAATGCAATGTTCTGGCCATTCTACTACATTGGCTCTCCTGGAGGCAATGCCCTTCATAAAGGTTTATAATCTGTTTTGTAAAAGATCTGGATTAAGAGCAAACATGAACTGATTCCGTTTTCCTGAGGTGAAATGGTATATATATATAATCTTTAAAAAGAATGTCAATATTCCTGTCTAAGCCATCTGAATGAATGTAGACATGTACAAGTGGCTAAAATATCTTGATAAGAATGTGGAAGATAAAGGCTTGCTTGTTTTGCAGAAAAGTGATGTCTGATATGAACCCCAGTAAATAGGTCTGGAATTTTGCTGTTGCTCTCTAGGAAATGTAACACAATTACTTACTGTGCTGCTTTTGTTGCATATAAAGGATTTGTTTAATGATGATAGTTTTGTAAGTAGACATTGCTTTCAGAAGAGAAAAAGAAAGCAATGCAAGTTCTCCTGTGTTCATCAGCTTGAGATTAATGCCACTACACTCCAAATAGCCACTGCTGTGCAAGGCTTTACTCTTGTTTGGCTATGTGACCTCAAGTAACCTGATTACCATCCATTAAATCTTTTGCCAGTATAGGACCCAACAGAGCTCAAGTTTCTTCACATATTTGTCAAAGTTAGCTGCAAAAATGGCACCTCGCTATTGAAAATGTGAAATTGCATGTTCTGGTGAAAAAAGAGACAGTGCTACCTTAGCTACACCAGATTAAACAATGTGCAGTTTACTTGCACAAAGTGTAGTAGCCTGCTTGCTTCTGTATAATTCAGTCTGATGTGACTGAACTGTTGTAGAGCATCCTGGAATAGACTTGGTTCAAGATCATGATGTCAACATACTAATGAGAAGGAATTATGCTTCTGCTGTAATTTTGTGACTTCCATTCTTGCCTAGGAAAAGTTCTGTCCCGTGAGCTTGTAAGTATAGATCTTGATACTGCAACTGAATCTCCATCGGGTATGAGGGTAATAGACTCCCTTACCTTCAACAAATAAATGCAGAATTGCTTCTATACTTACTTATTTAGATGATCCCTCGTAGCCTGAGGATGATGGTCCTCCAAATGTGTCTTGGCAGTGGTTCAGTAGGTAGCTGTGGAGCCCTATTCTGGATCCTCAGTGAGGTCATTGGTTTCCAGGTGGAAGGTCATCCTGGTCAGGGTTGGCTTCTATAAGTTGCCACTATTAAGTCTAGCACTGTGTTCCAAGCTTCGCCAACAGAGCTGATGGATATTGGAACATATCTGACCCAAAGTTACCAATATTTCTAAAGATCTTTCATTACAACCAGCTTTTGCTATTCTCTTGTGGAGTTTGGATGTTTCTTAAGGCTGCATGCTTGTGTTAGCGGTGGAGGATTTGTGCTTGCATGAGAAGGGCCCTAGAGACTTGTTAGTGGGCATTAATCATAATGCATCTCTCAGCCTTGCCTCACTTTTCCCCCAGTGTGAAAATAAGCTAAATCCACAATGATCTTTACAGCTAAATGGAGTAATAAAATAATAACTACCTTGAGTCAGAGTGGTGTAGTGGTTTGAAGCACTTGACTACAAATCTGGAGGCCGTGGCTCAAATCCCTGCTTGGCCATGGAAACTCAGTCTATGTTAACATTTGGACTGTGAGGGGTGTTTTGCTCACTCACATCATTTTATAATCTTAATCGTTGTGTGCCTTCAAGTTGTTTCTTACTCTCTCTGAACAAATCTTGCCTAGAAAAACCCATAAGATGAAAAAACAACAAGGTCTGTTTTTTGCTGGGGGGCGGGGCGGAGAGTCAGCCCTCTTTAGCCACAGAAAGACACTTTGGGAAAGTGTTCAGTCATGAAAAACTATAGAGCCCCCAGTGGCGCATTGGGTTAAATCCTTGTGCTGGCAGGACTGCTGACTGAAAGTCAGTGGTTTGAATCCAGGGAACAGGATGAGCTCCCACCCGTCAGCTCCAGCTTCTCATGTGGGCACATGAGAGAAGCCTCCCCAGGATGGTAAAATATCAGAGCATCCCTTGGGCAACGTCCTTCCAGACGGCCAATTCTCCAGCACTAGAAGTGACTTGCAGTTTCCCAAGTTGCTCCTGACATGGAAAAGAAGCCCTGAAAATTTGCAAAGGATTCTTGTAGCACCTTAGAGACTGTGAACCAAGTTAAGCTGTCACAGACTTGAACTACATCTACACTGTAGTTTGGCACACTTTAAATGACATCGCTCAATGCTATGGAATCTTGGGAGTTGTAGTTTTACAAGGCCCTTGGCCTTTGTTTCACCAAACAATTCCTATGATTAATCTGTAACATTAAGACATATCAGTAAAGGGGTGTCAAACTGCATTCATTCTAATCTACAATGTAGTTGCAGCCTACATACTACTGACACTGATGTTGAACGTGTGCACACTGCAAGAGATTTTAAATCTATAGGCTACAGTAACCCCATTCCTAATGCTAGATTGGACTCTACCTGCTGGTTCCAACTTTAACAGAACTATTCAATCAGTGGGATGCACGTGATGAGGAGTAATCATTAGAATTTGGGTAAATATGTAATTCAAAAGGATAAATGGGAGTATAGTGTCTAGATCCAGGGAAGTCATGCTACCCCTCTATTCTGCCTTGGTCAGACCACTTTACCTGGACTACTGTGTCCAAATCTGGACTTCGCAATTGAAGGGAGATGTTGACAAGCTGGAATATGTCAAGAGGAGGGCAACTAAAGTGATCAAGGGTTTGGAGAACAAGCCCTATGAGGAGCGGCTTAAAGAGCTGGGCAAGTTTAGCCTGCAGAAGAGAAGGCTGAGAGGAGACATGAGGGCCATGTATAAATATGTGAGGGGAAGTCATAGGGAAGGGGGAGCAAGCTTGTTTTCAGCTGCCCTGGAGACAAGGACGCGGAGCAATGGCTTCAAACTATAGGAAAGGAGATTCCACCTGAAGATGAGGGAGAACTTAACTGTGAGAGCTGTTCAGCAGTGGAACTCTCTGCCCCGGAGTGTTGTGGAGGCTCCTTCTGGGAAGGATTTTAAACAGGCTGGATGGCCATCTGTCGGGGGTGCTTTGCGATTTTCCTGCTTCTTGGCAGGGGGTTGGACTGGATGGCCCACTAGGTCATCTGATTCTAAGGAGATGAAGGTTTCTGGCAGCGAGTTTGCATGAGGAGGGAAGGTGAAAGAATGCAGTCTTTGGGCCTTGCTTCCTTCCCCTTTAAACATGGGCTGTGCCACAGCTCGGGCGCGAGGAGGCGTCTAAAGCGCCCCCGAGGGAGGATCAAGTGAAACGAGTCGCGTGACGTCCCCTCCCCGCCCAGCCAATCAGAGCCAGACTGCGCACGCCAGTTCGCACGCATTGGCGCCTGATGACGTAATCCCGGCGGAGAAAAGGAAAGCTTCGTCAGGGAGGGGCGGAGCCTCATCTTCGGCGTCAAGGGCGCAGCGGGGGAAAGGCACCTGCGCCACCCAATCAATTAGCGGGAGCCCCGCCCCCTTTTCTGAGTTTGGACCCACCCTCTCTACTACTCAGGAACCGCCAAAATAACGGGGACAGCGAGCGGAAGAGCTCCAGCGAAGTAGCTTCCCCTTCCTTTCTGGCCTTTTGAGGATTTTGTGGCAAAGGAACAGCCCTCACAATTTCCTTGAAAGACAGGGCATACCAAATGTCACCGGAGAGGGGAGTTGAATAACCCGTTTACTAACTCCTCCAGCGCCAGTAAAGGGGGAGATGGGAGAAACCACTTTAACGAAGGGGGAAGTATTTCCCCCTTTTGTTAAAGTGGTTTCTCCCATGGCCCCCTTTACTGGCGCTGGAGTCAAGGGAGGAACCACTTAAAGAAATGAGAAGTACCATTCCTCCCAATTATTATTATTGGGAGGAATGGTACATCCCCCTTTGCTTAAAGTGGTTTCTCCCATCGCCCCCTTTACTAGTGCTGGACTCAAGGGAGGAACCACTTTAAGAAAAGGGGGAAGCACCATTTTTGTATATAGAATCGGAGTTGGAAGAGACCTTATGAACCATCCAGTCCAACCCCCTGCCAGGAAGCAGGAAAATCACATTCAAGGCACCCCCGACAGATGGCCATCCAGCCTCTGTTTAAAAGCCTCCACCACACTCCAGGGCAGAGAGTTCCACTTCTGAACGGCTATCAGTTAGGAAGTTCTTCCTAATGTTCAGATGGAATCTCCTTTCTTGTCGTTTGAAGCCTTTATTCTGCGTCCTATTCTCCAGGACAGCAGAAAACAAGCTTGCTCCCTCCTCCCTGTGGCTTCCCCTCACATATATTTAACTCTCCAACCCTGCAGCTGAAGCTTCCCCTACATGACGCTACACCCCAGGCCTCTCCCTTCATAAACAGCGAGCAAGCAGCGAGTGAAAAATGCTTTTTAAAATACGATTTATTGACAAAAAACCCATCCCTCCCCTTCCCACAAAAGAAAACACAAATACCCCCTTTTAAAAAAAGGCAATCGAAGACATGAAGGCAGTACAGTACAAGATGGAGGCAAAGGGGGGCGTCTCCCTCTCCGACTAGGTCCTTTGAATTACAAAAAAGGGGGGCGGGGTGGTGGGAGGCCAGGTTGCCATGGCGACACGAGGCGCCCCCTCAACTGCTGGAAGCTCTCTCAAAGGCACCCCTAGACACACACTCAAGAGGAAATGGAAGCCAATAAACGAATGGAGGCTCAGATACGCGACAGTCACTGAATAAATCAAGAAAAAAAAGCGAAATAGGACCCCTACCCTCCCCTCTCCGCCGACACACACAAAAATATGGGTCTTCCAGAACAGTATATAACACAGGCATGGGGGGAAACTTGGGCCTTGGAGGTGTTTTGGACTTCAATTCCCAACACTCCTCACAGCCTCAGGCCCCTTCCTTTCAGATGGAATCTCCTTTCTTGTACTTTGAAGCCATTGTTCCATGGCGTCCTAGTCTCCCGGGCAGCAGAAAACAAGCTTGCTCCCTCCTCCCTAGAAAAGGAAGGGGCCTGAGGCTGTGAGGAATGCTGGGAGTTGAAGTCCAAAACACCTCCAAGGCCCCCATCCTGGTATAACACGAGCAAGGATAAAAAAGCAACCCTGACGACAAAAAATATCCAAAAAAACATGGAGGGAAAAGTGTCCTTTGCCCGCCCCCCAAAAGTAAACACAACCGAAGCGAGGGTGAAAAAAAAGGTGGCTCTGTGCTTCGAGCGCAGTCTGAGTCCTAGGAAAGGAGGGCGGCCTTTCCCTTCTTCCTTCTCCTCCCTCACTTCCTGCTCTTGAGGGGCTTGGGCTTGGCGGCCTTCTTGGCCTTCTTGGCGGCGGGCGAGGAGGCGGAGGCGGAGGAAGAGGGCGAAGGGGCGCCGCTCTTCTTGCCCGCCGCCGCCCCCGCCTTCTTGGCCTTGGCTTTCTCCTTCTTGGCGGCGGCTGGGGACGGGGAGGCGCCCTTCTTGTGCGACGACTTCTTCTCCAGCGCCTTGGGCTTCTTCTCGGCTTTCTTCGGGGGCGTCGCGACCACCGCGGCGGCCTTTTTGTGGGGCTTAACGTGGGGCGCGATGGCGGGCCCTCCTCCTTCTCCCGCTCCGCCTTCGAGCTTCTTTCGGTTCAGCTTGAAGGAGCCATTGGCGCCGGTGCCTTTGACCTGGAGGAGGGTGTCGTTCTGCACCAAGGCCTTGATGGAGTACTTGAGGTAAGTGCGGCCGTTCTGCTGGTCGAACCAAGGCACCTTCTTGGCCTCGTTGTAGATCTTGGCCAGCGAGGAGCCATTCCGCTCGCCTAGCTTCCGAATGGACTCCACCACCAGCTGGCTGTACTTCCCTGGCTGGTTCTTCTTCTTGCTGTTCTTCTTCTTCTTCGAGGGAGACAAGGCCGAGGCCTTCTTGGCGGCGGCGCCGGCGCCTTTCTTCTCGGGAGCCAAGGGCGCCTCCTCGGCCTCCGTCAACGGCAAGTCGGCTTCTTCCAGCTCCACAGACATGGCCGAAAACGATAACATCCAGCCGCCGAAGACCTTCCCGCTCCGCTCGCAAACAGCGCTCTGAGGCCGCGCGCGCTGCCGCAGCTCTTTATATACTCCACTAGCGGACCGTGTTGAGAACAACAACAAGAGCCCAAGAGGCGCGCTCCGAGTTGTGCTTTTCCAAGGCCCTTCGCGGGACTCTCCCGCTCACCTCAGGGCACGCAGAGGCGCCGCAGTAGCGCGGCCCGCTTCCCCAGGCGAAGCCCCAGGCGGCTACGGGGGTGTGGCGGCGCTGCTCGGCCGGGAAAGGCCCCTCTCGGGCGATTTTGGGGGCGCTCCCTATGCTGGGCGCAGGCGGAGGAGGGGGGCGCCCTGTTCGTGGGCCTCTGGGTCGCCGCCCAAAGGATTCCCGGGCCCGTGAACGCGCTTGGGGGGCAGAGAAGAGGGCCCTCTGTCCAATCGTCCGGCTCGGATCCGCCGGGGCCGCTTTGGAGGTGAACGGGAGGCCGGTTAATTTGTGGGAACTAACACACGGGACGCCCTCGCGCGGCCGGTCGGCAGCAATGGATTCAAATGACAGCGGGGAAAACAAGATCCCACCTCCACTTTAGGAAGAACCGCTTGGCATTTAAAGAGGCTCAACCCCACCCTCCACTGTTGAGCCTCTCTTGAGGATTCCTTGCTGAAGAAAACCCTGTGAAATGGACCGCGTTACCATAAACTACGGGGTATTTCAAAGAAAGAATTACAGGAAGTGGGCCACCGTGAGCACCCCTCCCCCCCTTGGGAGACCCCAGTCCCCTTTCTCCCAATCCCGCTTTTTAAACTGGAATCATAGGTTGAAAGGTGGCCATTTAGTCCAACACCCTTCTAGGCTAGGATMCACAACTAAAAATGACTGTCCGGCCTCTTTTTTTAGAGTAGGCATGGGCTAACTTGGGCCCTTCCTTCTTGTGTTTTGGACTTCAACTCCCCCCCCCCTCCCCCTAAATAGCCACCCTGTGAAATGGACAGCGTTACCATAAACTACTGGGTATTTAAAAGAAAGAATAAAAGGTGGCCGTTTAGTCCAACATCTTGCTAAGCTAGGATACACAACTAAAAATGACTGTCCAACCTCTTTTTTTAGAATAGGCATGGGCCAACTTGGGCCCTTCCTTCTTGTGTTTTGGACTTCAACCCCCCCCCCCCCCAAATAGCCACCTTTCAACCTATGATTCCAGTTTAAAAAGCGGGATTGGGAAAAGGGGGGCTGGGGTCTCCCAAGGGGTGGGTCCACTTCCTGTTATTCTTTCTTTGAAATACACAGTAGTTTATGACAACCCTGTCCATTTCACAGGGTTTTCTTCAGCAAGGAACTCCTCCCTATTACTTCCCCTCACATATATTTAACTCTCCAATACTGCAGATACACACACACACACACACACACACACACACACACACACATACATACACACACCTCACTTATTTGTTTCTACCAAACCCCTCAACCTCTGTGGATGCCTGCCATAGATACGGGTGAAACATCAGGAGAGAATGCTTCTGGAACATGGCCATACTTCTTGGAAAACTCACAGCAACCTAGTGATTCTGGCCATGAAAGCCTTCGACAATACAGTGAAAATACAGCCTTGGAAGACGGAGGTTTGGGTGGCCCTCTATCGGGGGCGCTTTCCCCTTTAAGGCAGGCATGGGTCAACTTGGACCCTCCCTCCAGGTGTTTTGGACTTCAACTCCCACCATTCCTAACAGGCTCAGGCCCCTTCCTTTTCCCTCTCAGCCGCTTAAGCGGAATGGTGGGAGTTAAAGTCCAAAACACCTGGAAGGAGGGCCCAAGTTGGCCCATGCCTACTCTAAAAAAAGAGGTTAGACAGTCATTTTTTCGTTGTGTATCCTAGCCTAGCAGGGTGTTGGACTAAACGGCCACCTTTCAACCTATGATTCGTTTAAAAAGCGGGATTGGGAGAAAGGGGACTGGGGTCTCCCAGGAGAGTGCTCATGGTGGCCCACTTCCTGTTATTCTTTCTTTCTGTGTGTGGTCTTTTAAATACCCAGGAGTTTATGGCAACCCTGTCCATTTTACCAACCAGGGCAGGCCTTGCTTAGCTTCCAAGACCGGACCAGAAGGTGATTTCAATGAGGTGGGTTTTGTGGCGAGTGTGTCCCGACTCTCCCTCGCCCACAGACCCGGTGTTCTCTTGGTTCCCAAAAGGCGATGGGCGGGGTAGGAGTGGCTGTGTTTCTAGTGCAGGGACGCCCACATTTCTCTGGACTGGCTTCCCATCCACGTCCCTTTGGAGGCGAGAGGCCATGGCTACCCGGCCTGCCTTTCCTTGTCGCCTCTTTCTGCCCTTTCGGGGCCTCATAGTCTCCTCCCCGCATCTTTCTGTGGGGTTCAGTTACAACGCCGTGCTTCTGCCCCTTTAAATGGCGGGTGGGGAAGACCACAGGAGGCGGAGAACAGGAGGGTGGGGTGGGGATGGGGGACAAGAGCGCCTCCAGCAAGAAAACGGGGGCAAGGTTTTGAGAGGTGGGCGAGGGGGGAGAGAGTGGCTCAGGGGGGAAGGAGAATTGCCTCCTGTAAAAGGAAGACATCGAAAGCTCCCAAGAGGGAAACGGCCAGAAGGATTGAGCGGAGGAATCCGCCCCCTTCTCCTCCTCCTCCTCCTCCTCCTCTTCCTCCATCACCATCATCACCAATGCTTTTTCTCCGGTGCAGGAAAAGTTGCCTCTCTCTCTCCTCCTCGTCTTCCTCTCCTTCCCCGCTTCCTCTCCCTCCTCTCCATTTGGCTTCTGCAAAAAGGCAGCTCGGGCGGGGGTCTCTCCCGGCGCCATGTCCGCCCTCCCATTCCCCTCCCCAAATCTGAGGCGTCCTCCCTCCTCCTCCTTGGTTTCCCCACCCTTTCCTGCCCACCCTTCCCGGGTCGTGACTTTTGGGGAACAGGAACCTGCTCCTTTCTGCCCCTGGACCATCATCTCACTCAGCTTCTTAGGTTCTCAAAGGGACAAGAAGGGCTGCTCCTGACCACTTCGACCTGACTGGTATGGAGTGCCACCAGGGAGTCCAGTACTGCTTTGAGGGGCTTTACAGACTCTAGATCAGTGGTTCCCAACCTTTTTTTTTTTTTAACCAGGGACCACTTAGGCTAGGGACCACTCTCTCACATTAGTACCAAAAGGGTTAGGAATCAGTTTTAATCAGCTTTAGATTTGGTTATTCAGGGTACTGATTCAGAAAATTGCATTGGATAGACCACATCAGCTCTGGTTTCTGATGTAGAACACATGCCATCCAGTAGTTGCCATCTGCTTACCCACAGAAAACAGTATTTAATAATCTAGAGCTGATGTGGTAGAAGTAATCTTTCGTGGGTAGTCAGCCTCTCCCCTCCCGACATCCCTGTTGCCTCGGCACTATAAGAGGGTTTGCAAGACCAGTTGCTCTCGTTGCCGTGTGGTTTCAAGGCAATGGTGTAGTAATTATGAGGCTGTGGACCATATTTGCATTCTTGTGGACCACTGGTGCTCCATGGACCGCAGGTTGGGTACCACTGCTCCAGACAAACAGTTCAAAGCATCTGGAATGTTACAGAGTTCCTACCCTGGTCTTTGATACTCTTGTTTAAATCTCCACTGAAAATGGGAAGGGGTATTACAAAGGTCACAGTTGGCCTTTAACGTCAACATGAAATTAATGGGAGAGGTTATCTCCAGTTTTGAAGCTGGACATCATCAGCATGACAGGCAGCTGTTAAGGATCATACAGTATCTCTACCCCAGCTGAAACAACTCAAATGTCTGGGCCAAATTCAAAGTGCTGGCTGTGACCTTTATAATCCTACTTTGCTTAGGTCCAGACTTTTTGCAACTGAGGTCTCCCTATAGGCAGTCCCAGCCTCATCTTAGGCAGATCTAGTGAGCACATAAGAGGGAGAGCCTTCTCAGCAGCTGCTCCTAAGTTATGAAAGTCCTTTACCCTGGAAGTCTAGTCCCCTCCCTGCTGCCTTTGTACCAGCAGGTAAAGACCTTTTTATTTAAATAAGCTTTCAGCCTTTTGTGACAGATAAGGCTTTTAATGAGGAAACTACTGTTTTTTATTTTATTACATTTGAAGCATCTTTTGATCCCATTTTTAGCTAGAGTTCAACATGTGTATATTATAAACAGAAATGTAATGTAATTGTGGTTTGACATTTATATCAATAATTTCAAAACTTAATTGTGCCTTTTAAAAAGTTGTACTTCATGTTGGTTTCTGAGCTGGGAGAAAGGTGGGATATAAATGCAATTAAATAACATGTGCACACATTCAAATATTGTTGGATTGACAGTCTTTATCAACATTACCCAGTGTATTCAGTGGTGAACAGTACTAGTCACTGTATGGCTCCAGCCTCTGTTCATCTGGTTTAGGGCAGTGTGGAGCATATAGGGCTTCAGCTTATCCATCTGAATTAGGACCTTACATCTGAATTGGATGTGAATAGAGAGTCCTATTCAAAGGCAACACCATCACACTCCAAGGCAGAAAGACACTGGTCAGATGGAGCAAAGCCTTAATATGTAAGAGAATATTTGCTGAATATAAGAAGGCTTTGCTCAGCACCTCAATGTAATTTTCTTTCAAACCACTGATAGAATATATTGAGATGCAGTAACATGACATAAAACATATAGTCTTCACATACTCTCTTTGGGGATGGAGTGAGAGCTACATCGGACTGCAAATCCCAGAAGTCCTAAGTAGTGTAGACAAAGGTGAGGAATGCTGAGAATTTCAGTCCAATAGCATTATGGAGAGCACATGATACTCACTCCTACTTTAAGAACATCTCAAGTTTGGGAGAAATTCAAATTAGCGTAGGAACCCCATCATTAGGTTCAGTAAGAAGTTTAAAAAGTGAAACAAGGAGGAAAAGGTTTTGTTCTTGTTAAGTTTATTGGCATGTTTCTTTACAGAAGAGTTCTGCCTACATACTAGATTGTAGACTTCTGGGAAAATCAGTAGAAGTGCTCCATTTAAGAAAGCTACAAATGCAAGAACGAAGAGAATAGGGAAGAACAAAGTTGCCAAGTTTCCATTCCAGGAAATCCAGACAAGTAACAATAGAGAGAAAAGGGAAAAGGGACATTTAGCCATCAAGGATGACCATAACAACCCAGGTGGAGCTCGTTCTACAAGAGTCAGACATCATGTTAGATTCCGCTTTGCAGAGTTAATCATGAAGGGGGATAAAAGGCAAACAAAGTGATCATTCTGAAAGCTGTATTTCATTTTGGAAGTCCAATAATCCAGTGTGCAAGGTTATGCAAATCATCCATTGAAAAGTTTTAGCTACAAAGAAGCCAGATAACATTTTTTCCAGGAGATGAAGCTTTTTGGCTCTTAAATCAATAAAAATGTTTACATAATTCTTGCTTCTACTGTACAGAATACTGCCTCTATCTGGACTTGTGTTGCGAGCACAATGCATCCCACAAGTGTCCTGTTCACTTCCTAAACAACCTGTGTTTCAGTACTTAAACATGTAATTCAAGAATTTTACACTAATTTATACATTTTAATTGGTTGCATATATTAACATGTACTATAAGATTTTTCCTAAAGAAGCCATTACATAATACGTGGATACTGTAAAAAGATCTGATTAGTTTAAAAGTAACAAGCATTAACAGATACATACAAAACTCAACCTAGTTGGACTGAGTGCTGAGCTTGCAATGAACTATGAGTTATCAGCCTTTCCAGTCGCCGCCTTCACAGGGGAAACACAAGACAAGTAAAGGGAAATTGTTACAGATCATCTGTACACAGTTTCTTTCCATTGAACACCTGGAAGTAGCTTAAGTTCCAAACATATAAGAGAGTTTCCTTTTTTAAACTATAGGAGAAAGGGCTGCTACCATGAAATAATGCAATGGGATGAAGGGACTTTGATGGAGTCGTGGAGAGGAATGAGTGGGCTTACACGTTGTTCATGGTAAAAGGGTGGTTTTGGCCACTGAGGATGAGATCTTGTTTCTTTTTACATAGGAGAGAGGGGCCGTGTGTGTTTGAAGGCCTAGGTGTGATATCTGTTTGTGAAGGACTGTGCTAACCCCTCCAGCCCCACCTCAGCAGCTGCAGCTCTCCGCAGAGGCCTTTGCTCGGTCGTTCTTGTCTAGTTTGATGGGTTCAGGAAATTCATTGTAAAGCTCCACTTCAGTTTCCTATGAAGAAAGAAATCACAAATTCCAGTTGAGTCATTTACACAACCTTCTTTTGAGAAAGATGGAAACAGTCCACTGCAAATCTAGAACTGAGAAGGACTTGCTGCCTTTCAGGTTCTTGTCGTGTCAGGAGTGACTTGAGAAACTGCAAGTTGCTTCTGGTGTGAGAGAATTCGTCGTCTGCAAGGACGTTGCCCAGGGGATGCCCGGATGTTTTGATATGTTACTATCCTTGTGGGAGGCTTCTCTCATGTCCCCACATGAGGAGCTGGAGCTCAAAGAGGGAGCTCATCCACACTCTCCCTGGATTCGAACATGTGACCTGTCGGTCTTCAGTCCTGCCAGCACAGGGGTTAAACCCACTGCGCCACCGGGAGCTATTTCAGGTAATAGGAATGAGAAAGTGTGTGTTGCAACACCAGGCAAAACCTTCCCAGCTTAGATGGGACCAAGTTAACACTACAGTTGACTCACATGTTCTCTCTAGCAATCTCCAACCCAAATCCGGCTTGTTATGTCATTTTTATGTGGCCCCCCAGATGTTGGACTACAACTCCTGTATTGCTCTTTATTAGACCACATGACTAGAGATGATGGAAGTTGTTATACAGTACACACAACTGCAGGTTGTCCTGTTTGGAAGGCTGAAGTCTGTCCTGTTTAGTCAGGATCGTGGGGTTCAAATTTAGATACGAAGTTTGTAGATATGATGTCTGACTTTAAAATGTCTTTTAGCCTTTCACCAGTCTCAGAGCCACAAGTGCCGTTGGGTTGTGATTCCCATTATCCCCAGTCTGTATGGCAGATAATCAAAAGTTATGAGAGTTGTTGTTCAATGCCACCTGGGACCCAAACTGCCTATACACGAAAGAGCACTAATCACTATGTAAAATAAAAAACAATCACTATGTTAAAAAATTATAGTTGGCTCTCTGTATCCATGGATTCAATGTCTGCCTGAGGCAGCCCAAAGACTGATGTGATACCCCTGATCTAGGCCCTACAGTGTGAATCTATGGTCAACTTCTGCTACAGAGTTGCACTAAAAGACCTAGAGATTTCTAGGGAGACAATTTCTTCAAGCATTTTGAGGTCCTCCAGTTCATCACAGAAGCACGCTTGAGGACCTAGAGAAGTATTTGTTCATATGAAAAATAGCATTTTTCTATTTGCGTCCCCCCCCCCCCCCATTTTTGCAAGTTTCCTGCAACTGTAACATGAGTGAATGTGGAGGGATTACTGTACTTGTCAGGCACCACCCACTCAAGCATAAATATGGACTGGAGAATAATTAGCCTCTTCGAAGTAATGATGATAAAGGAGCACAACTACCTGTGAGAGAACAACACACATCCTAATTCTGCCTTGACCAACATATGCTTTAAAAAACAAAACAAAAAACATTTGACAATTCTATTACTTGAGGAGAATGTTAGTGCAGCCCAAAACAAAAAAAGGCTGTAGTACCCCTATGATCTGTTTCCCTGTCAGCCATTAACGGGCCTGATTTGATCTACAAAACTGACTGGGCGGCCACAAGAGGGCACTTGGTTGAACTGGTACCTGTTTAAGTGCATTCCGTGCAATTGTCTGGAAAGCCTGCTCCACGTTAATGGCTTCCTTGGCACTGGTTTCAAAGTAAGGGATATTGTTTTTGCTGTAGCACCAGGCCTGTGCTCGTTTTGTAGTGACCTGAAATAAAGGAATAACCTTTTAAAATTCTACCGTTATTAATAGCCAACGTGTAACTATCACCCACCTTTAGCTCTCTGTCAAAGACTATCCATTACTTCTCACATTACACAGTCTAACAATTCTTGTTTATTTCCAGGGATCATTGTAGACAAAGCACTTGTTTCCAAGGCTACGTTCTCTGGTCTACATTCTTTCAAACAGCATATACTTATGTAAGCACTTCATAGTTGCTTCCTTGAGAGGCACAGACTAAAAATACTGTTGCAGTAACTGTAACAATCCCATCTGTGGAAGACTCACATTCAGCTTGATAAAGGTTCAGGTTCAAAACCATCACAGGCACTTACTTGTCTGTTTTCTAGGTCAATTTTGTTTCCCAGCACAACAAAAGGAAAGTTCTCAGGATCCCGTGGACTTGCTTGAATGAGGAACTCATCTCGCCAGCTGTCAAGAGTTTTAAATGTGTTGGGAGCCGTTACGTCAAACACCAGCACGCAGCAGTCTGCGCCTCGGTAAAAAGCAACTCCAAGGGACTGAAATCGTTCCTGCCCTGCTGTATCCCATATCTGCAAAGATCACAGAGGAAGAGGAGAGCTCAGGAACAGTTTTAGGTATTCAGATCAGATGCAAGCCATACCAAGTCGTGAAGGTAGCTCCGCAGCAATGTTGTACATATTGGATGTAGTAGAACCCAAGTACATTTTAATGCCTTTTGAGGAGAAACACCAACACTCTGCTCTAGGCTCAGTCCCTAAGACCATCACTGATAGTATGGTGAGTGACTTTTTGAATGGCTGCAAAAAGCCAGAGGCCAGTGACTGGTCTTCAACTGAAAGAGGACACACAGCATTATGAACCTATTCCCTTCCCAAGATCAGGAAATAGCGGATCATCCAGGGAAGCCTCATGCCAAGCTGAATAATAGAGCCAGACAGGCTTCAGTAACACTTAAATTTGGGAGGGGGGGTGCAGCCCGGAGAGAATTTTCCTCGTCCCCTGACATCAAAAAATGAGAGGCACTTTTGCCATGTAATGAAAGCTATTTTAATTGCAGAGTAGACCTTTTCAACTAGAAAGTAAATCTGGCAGAAGGGAGGTCTAAGAGGTAGCACGATAGCTGTAGGGTTACTGCCCAAAAGTTTCAATAAAGCTCTAGAAGGCTCTGAGGGGAGCTCTGTGCAGGATAACCCCTTTGTGTGATTCACAGAGACCACAAGGAAGAACTTTACATATCTGATGATGTGTCATGTAGAAAAATGGAATTACTTCCGGCTAGAACATGAACCAATGGGTTCAAATTACAAGACATTCCACCTAAACATTTGGAAGAACTTTTTTATTGTAAGATGGTGGAATAAATTGCCTTGGAGGGTGGTGGAGTCTCCATATTTGGTTAGATGGGCATCTTTCAAGAGTGTTTTGTGCTTTTCTGTATGCCAAGAGGAGGGATTCCATGGTCCTTATGGCTCTTTCTGACTCTAAGGGCCTGCCTTTCAATTTATTCCCTGTCTGAAAGAAGGCTTCTCCTGGGCCTACAAAACCTACAGAAATTTATAAATATGATAAAAGTTACCTTGTGTTCCTAGAAATTTTAGGGGCATTTTGTTGGGGCTCAGCAAGGGGCTGGGGGTTTCTCAGAGGAGGAGGGGGAGATGTTGGGTTTCAAACTGAGAAGTCTCAGGGAGAATGAGGGGGAATTGCAGGTCTTAGATAAGAGAGAACTGCAGGTTGAAGATGAGACAGGGAATGTTTTGGATTCCGATGTTCGTTCCTTAGCAACAGGGGAAAGAGAAACTGGTGAAAGGTCCATTTCTCTTGGGAATTGACCTTCAGCTGATGGGAAGTTTTCCTGATATCAGATTAACCTAGATGTGTGAGACATGATCTTATGGCTTCTTGGCTGGGCTTGGGCTTAAATGAAGTGGTGTTTACTTCATGTCTCTCAGAGGAGACAACGTTGCCAAAAGGTTCGGGTTCCTGTCTCAGCTCTCAAGTTAATGATTCTAATTTCCTGTGTTTGCCTATGTTCCTGAAAGATTTTGCCTTAGAAAAAGTTCCTGTTTTTATGCTCATGGATTTATGCCTGAGATTTTTACCTCCTGGACTACTGCTCTTTTGTATATGGACTGCTGTTTTGTAGTTCCTTTTCTATTGCTCTTTTGAGAAATGCTCCTTTCCCCTTTGTACATGCTTTTCTTAATTAACTGGTGTAGTCAATACCACTGGACTCTGGTGTGGTGCTGGGTGAAAAGGTATCTCAAGGCTTGAGTACAACACACTTTTTTCAGTGACTTAGAAAAATAGATTCATAGAGCTGGAAGAGGCCTTTTGGGCTATTCAGTCCAACTCCCTGCCAAGAAGCAGGAAAATGGCATTCAAAGTACCTCCAACAGATGGCCATCCAGCCTGTTTAAAAGCCTCCAAAGAAGGAGCCTCCACCACACTCCTTAATGTAAACCAAAATCAAGATGTGGCAGGAATGACTAGCCTCTCCAAAGTCCTGTAGGATATCAATGTTCCTAATATCTACCTTAGATCATCTAACATCCACACATAACTTGGTGGTTATAACAGCTGCCAAACCAAAACAAACTCGTTGATCCCATGACTCATTTTTCAGGAGTATTAATCGATAGGCTCCCCTCTCTGCCATCTATTTTCTTGATACTAATAAATCAAAGTTAGAGATAAAATGAAAGTTGGTTAGATGAACCAGATGCAGTGTACACTCATATGTTGGAGCTAACAAATTTGGGGTAGGGATCAACCAGTTTAGTATATCATATATCTATTTTATGAGGCAGAGACTTGTTGATACTCATATTTTATTGTTAGCAGTAGCTAACTATAAAATAAGGAGGAGTATGTTTACTCTCTCCTTCACAAGGAGATCGGGGTGACAGGCAGGGCTTCTCTCACTGCATCCTATAGGAATAGTGAATTAATTTGTGCTGTTACTAACAATGCATCACAAGAAAAATAAAGGTGGTCTGAAACACTTAATATATTGTAGTGCTTATTTCTTAAATGTACATAGTGCCAGTCAAAAAACTGACACACATATCAGAAAGAATCTACAGCTCTGTTCAATAATGATCCCTTTAACTGTACAATGTCTGAATAAGAGATTTTTGCTTCAAGCCTAAAGACAGAAATTCATCAATTTATGATGTTGGTCACCTGACCATCATGTAAAACCTTTGGACTATTTAAGTAAGAGAGTGGAATTATCAAGCCAAATTCAACACAGAAAAGCAGCTTTAATTCATTTTAACTACTGTCATGAGAAACAGAAGATCCCACTCATATTGTTGAGACTCAGCGTCCTGGCACCGTATCTACTACTGGTTGCAGGAGAAGGAGGAGTGAGGCTGAATCTGATTTGGAGCAGCGCCAGCTGAAGCGCATTCGTGMTATMTTTTTGGCTCCRACTGACACAGAAGACTTTGCAGGGTTCGGYCCTGAGGACGCAGTAGAGTCAGATTACCGGGGAGTAAAGCGGSTGGCCAGTGAGTCTGGCAGTGATAGTGMTACTCTGTCCRAAAGACTTAAAGACACAGCAGGCGTTTCCAGTTCTAGTGAGGATGAAATGGAGGAGGAACTAGATTGGASTCTGGTTCAGAACATTAGRGACATATGYGCYCAACCTACATCCAGCGAGRAATTYRAAGGGTTCCAGGATGCTTGGGAGGAGGGTTCTTCTTGGCAGGATCAGGCCCTGGAACAAAGATGGCAACATTGGAGGGACCAACAGGACGCAGCTGCAGGACATGAGTCAGACTCAGATGCGAGCTATGAAGCTCCATCAAGCGATAGCAATGATGCATAAATTGAGCATGTTAGGAGGTGTTACTTTGCAGAAGACAAAGTGTTGCTTAAGTGCTTTGTGCCTGCCTAATTCTTGTTTGAGTTTCCTGGTATCCAGCGTTCCTGCCTTGCATATCCAGTTTTCCTGCCTTGTATATCTGGACCTTGGAATCAGCTTTCGTGAGTGTCTTCATCGTGCTTTCGACCCTGGAATCATCTTGGACCACGCCTCTGCTTATTGGACCTTGTTTCTGTTTAGAACTCTGTTGCATTAAGAGACTATTTTGAGTTAGCGTTGCTTCTGTTTACTTCTGTTTCCTTTTCCGCGGAGCTCAAGCCTGGAAGATCCCGATTACTGACTGTTTGTTTACCTGCCTGAAGGTTCCTTTGAGTTGCTAATTTTCACTGCTGTTAAGTGCCTCTTTTGTTGTACCTCATTAAAGACTATTATTAGCATTTCTATTGCTGTGAAAGACATTATCTGTGCTCTAAGTCTCAACACATATCCTATCTTCTTATTTTAACTAGGAAAAGCCTGGAGAAGTCTGTTTAAGCCAGACAAGGTTTTGGTTTTCTATCCCTATTATATCAAGACCGAGAGCACCTCCAAAATGCTTCAGAAGGTATTGGGAGGATTCTTCCTGAGAAGGAACATGGCGGCACTCACCAATGTTCTAAAGTGCTTTAAAGAGAGCAGAAAGGCAGTCATGAACCACGCAAGCCACAATTTGTGGATCTTTCTACAATGCAGAAATAATGATCTTCTTACCTGCATTGTGACTAGCCTATCATCCACCATCACCTCTTTCGTCAGGAAGTCAGCTCCTATTGTAGCTTTGTACTGGTTACTGAATTTCTTGTTCACATACTGGTTCATAAGAGATGTCTTTCCCACCCTAAGGGAAACAGAAAGAAAACTGTGGTCATGGAGACAATGGGACAAATCAGAACTCAGTTTTAATCTATGCATAAGGCTATGGGCACATAACAGATTTGCATATATCAAATATCTGCTTTTGGTTGTTTAAGCCTTTTGTTAAAGAGAAAGCTTAAACAATATCTGGATGACCACACAATTCCTGCCACTGCCAAAGAAGTCCAAGTGACTTGGGGTCAGGAACAAGTTATCCCACAACAATACAGAAGAGGCACCTCGATCAGTGTTTTCAAACAGATGGGCTAGCTTAATATGCGGTGCTTGATTAAATTAGATGAGGAATTGACATGTATTGCATATAAAGATAGGCAATAACACACCAAGTTAATCACTTTCAAAAATACGGACTTGACAGTTAGGCGAAGCTTGTATAATAATCTCCACAGGCATTTCTACTAGATTATATTTCATACTCTAGTCCCTTTAAATACTGACATGAGATTTTGTAACTCAGACTCCAGGTACAACAAAACCATTTGGAAGACTATATTAACCCTTTTCCTCCACTTTTAATATTCTGCAATGTAGGGAAGGAATAAAAGGTAGAATAACTTTGGTCTTTGTTTAATAATGTTTCTCCATTTATTAGATATCATAACTTGTGTGTGAAATGTTTTTTTAATCTATTCTGTTTTATTGTGGATGCTACTTTACAGGAAAAATGCACACATATCCAGTGGTTTCAAGAAAGCTTACCGCCCTCGTTGATGAGGAATGAACATGATGTGTATTAGCAAATATTGCTAGAAGTTGTACTAATGCAATATCACACAATCAGCTGCAAGAGTATTTTGAAGAGAAGAACTTCAAGATAGTCAGAATATCCTTTACAAGTTTGGACCTTGTGATACCAGATTAATTTATCAGCAATAACCTGGTTCAGGTTACATTCCAGGCAGCAAACGTCTGTTTCTTCCAGAGCAGAGTTCTAAGTGAAGTCTTTCTAAGAACCGATCAGATTGCATGATGCAGCAATTTTCACATTCCATGGCTGTCTTGTTTGTATCATACTGACATGCTGTTCTTAAGAGCTAGGACATCAAGTAGACTTTTTTTTCTCTCCATGTATTTCCTCTGCATCTTATGTTAAGCTCTTCAAAGCTGCAATTTATTGAGTCATGCCATATAGTCTATGAAACAAAAGTACTTTAGCCAGCTCAGTACTGGTAAGGTTGCAGAAACACTCTATATGTTTCCACAGTTCTTATCCCTAGATCTTCTGTCTGGCCTGCTGTAAAATCAGCTCAGTCAGTGGCACCTTTTAGGTGTACCAAAGGAGATTACAACAATGCCAAATACTGTATATACATTGTGAGCAAGCACATTCATGGTTTCAATGTGCTACAGCACAGGTGTAACTATATTAATGTATCACTTACCCTGAATCTCCAAGGATGATGACTTTGAGTAATACTTTCTTTCTAGAAGTCATTGTTCTGGATTTCAAATGAAGGCTTCAAGTGCACTTACTGTACAAAGAGAAATGATGACACATTTCAGGATACAGGGCAGCTGATCACAAGCCAGTTAGCAAACACTGCTTCTCAAAAGGCATACCTACATCCCTATTCTACTCACAGAGAAGCCTTTAATCTTCAGGGTTGGAGATAGGTATCCCTACTTAGCTGATATGGCTCCAAATTCAGGGAAACTTTCATTTTTCACCATAAATACCACAGAAAGGGAGAGGAAATTACGGCAAAGAGAGACGAACTCCAACGAACATATGTAGTATAGGACAAGAGCAATGAAATATGAGGCACAAGATTGTCATACACCATCTACCTGTAAAGGCATCCCAGGCTGCAACAAAGGCAAGCACATAAAGGCTATATTACTCCAGGTTCTCAATGAGTACTTCACTACTCCATACTGTGGCATTATCAAAGTGTTGATCCTGGTTAGACTGTAAATAAAACACATTCCTTTTCCTATGCATGAAGCATGCATTGATGACTAGTATTTAGACTTGGAAGCAAGTACTTAAAAGTTCAAAAGGTCAAAGAAGAGTGTTTTAAAAAGCAATTGTGGAAATGTACAAAGCAATTTGATTGTGCCAATGCAGGAAGGAATGGAGAACATCAGCCTAGCAAACTGCACAAAAGGAGCAATATGTTGTTGAGATTTGTCTAACCCATTCTGCTCATATCAGGAACTCCATGCATATGGAAAGCCTGCCAGCAGGAAATACGTGAACCAATCTGCTCCTTCTGGCAGTATCTCACAACCAATACACAAAGGTGGAGGAGCAATGGGTTAGATTCTTGTGCTGGCAGGACTGAAGACCGACAGGTCGGAGGTTCAAATCTGGGGAGACCGTGCGTGAACGCCCTCTCCCACAAGGATGGTAAAACATCATAACATCCGGGCATCCCCTGGGCAACATCCTTGCAGACGGCCAATTCTCACACCAGAAGTGACTTGCACTTTCTCAAGGCGCTCCTGACACGAAAAAATATGTCCATGATATTGCAAATAATATGTAACCATCCTGACTCGAAGTCTCTAATTGCTCTAACCAGCATCACTTTATTAAATCGCTTTCTAAGTTATGCAGATTTAAGACTGTAACTACAATTTGTTGGCTGCAGCAAATCCTAATTTCTTTTTTCTTTTGAATATCCCACCATTTAAGCCCAGAAGTCAACCCCAGATTTCAGAAGGAATAGGTTGTTGTCAGATCTGTTTTTTGCACAGTGTGCAAAATTTTATATAGATCACTGAATACCCAAGCAAGGCTTATCCTTGCTTTTGTATTTTAAATTTCCATGTATGGTTGTGAAAGCAGGACTGTGAAGAATGCCTATTGGTAGATAAACAACTCAGTTGAAATGTGGCCTTGGTGAGAGTTCTGTGGATGCCCTGAACTACCAAAAAGACAAAACAAATGTGTCTCGGAGAAATCAAGCCTTAACTCTGCCTAGAAGCCAAGACTAAACCAAGGATGTAGTGCTTTGGACATGTCATGAGAAAATATACCTCATTAGAAAAAACATCAATGCTTGGGAAGGTAGTCGGAGAGAGGAAGACTGCATTACTTGTTAGTAATTTCAAGGATGCCACAGCCTTTAAACTATAAGATCTGAGATCAGGGTGACTTGGAGGTCTCTCATTCACAGGGTAGCCATAAGTCAGAGCTGACAATAACATAATTGGTTAATTGGATAATGTATGATTGCATAATTGAATAATGCTCATAGCAAGTTAGAAAGCAGTAGGAAAAGAGGAAAACAACATTCCAGATATATAGCCTCAGTCAACAAAGCCACAGCCACAAATCTGCAAGATTTGAGTATGACTATTGGTTAAACTTATGATAAAGTGACAAGTATATTTCTCAAGAAATTAGATGGTGTTGTATTTTGTTGATCCTACCATGAGAATTATTGAAATGCTTTAAGTGTTCAAACACTTCTAGACTTGAGCAATAAAACAAGTAGCACATAAAATTTTGAAAATGAGAAAACAAGAATTAGTTATGTGTATAGGACAAGGAGGGGTTTCAATACAGTGAACATGTTAGAGGAATGATGGCTGGAAGTCAAAAATCTAAAGAAAAATAAAACACCAGAACCCTGACTGAAAAAGACAAAGAGTGAAGGAAATGTTCCGCAGTTTTAAGGATCCTTTCCACCAACTACATTTGGGATATTACCTTATTTCCCAGTGTACAAGATGATGCTCAAATTTTCAAGTTAAAATATAGAGTTTGGGATATACTCGCTGTATAAGACTACTCCTCTTCCAACACAATTTTATTCTATGCCCATCTAGTCACAAGAAATCCCTAGTGCAAGCCTTGTCAATGCAGGGCAAGAGGGTTGTGATTCGGGAACTACAACTCCCAGAATGCCTCATTGTGCACGTCCAAGACACACCACCACCGGGGGCAGCTGGGAGTCATAGTCTGAAGGTACTTCCTTAGGTCTAGGCGAGCCCAGTGGCCTTACAAGGCTACTGCTGGCTGATTGGGTGGCCTTGCTTCCTTCCTCTCTCCTCCAGCTACCCAGAAATGGCAACATTGCAGGAGTTGCTTCAAAGTAGAGTGGGGAGAGCAGTGGGAGCAGAGGAGGGCCTTGAAAGTAGAGCGATGAGGGGCAACCCAGTGGGCCACCACTCCCAGATGGTCTATGTGGCAATGTGGTCTGCCGTTCCTCTTCCTCGCGCCCTCCCTCCGCCCTCCTCAGGCCGCACTGCTAAGGGATTTTATTATTTTCTTTTATTCTTCTATTTTATTTTATACCCGGTGTATAAGATGACCCCAGACTTTTCATAAGACTTTCCAGGCTTAAAAGGTCATCTTATACACTGGAAAATACAATAACTGGGAAATAAATAAATAAATACTTAAAGTAATACATACATCAGCAAGAAGATTCAGCTGCTTAGTCAGAATGGCAACTGAGAAGAATTAGTACTTATATGTCATTTCCTTCTTTTGCAGAAGAGGAAAATATGACAAAACACAAAGCCATTTGTTCTGTAAGGCTTGAGATGCAATTAATAATCCATCCACTTTCCAAACTGAAACCATGACAATCTCTCATAGGCAGCACTGCTCATAGGCAGCACTCAATTACAATGTTGCATGAAGAAATGGTTAATCACTGGGCTTATTCAGCCATTTGAGAACCCCAGCCAGAACTTGCTGTTTCCAGGGGCCAAGAAAACTGAGCATTGTGCAGTAACTCCCAAGATTAAGCTTCTTAAGGCAGGGACAGCACAGGAGAATTCCCACCAAACTCACTGTAATCACTTTATGAAAGGTAAACACCCGAAGTCAAGTAATGCGGCAGGTGAAGGAGAAAAGGGAAGTATCAAGGTGCAGTTAAGTCAATTCTCCAGTACATCAGAAGGCACACTTCATTTGCAAATGCAGCACTAAAGTCCTTGCTCTCAGACCTACTGTACTTATCTCAAGATCTACAAAGGGGCTCAGTTAGCAGGATCATATTTTATAAAAGTCCCTACAGTTGCTAAGATTTACATAGTTTGTGTTTGGCTTACTTTCAATAAGGCTAAGAACTTTTACCACCAATGTGCAGTTGTCTTAAAAAAAAAACTCTGGGAAGCTTACATCACGGTTACTGTTCAGGCTTCTTTGACTTGTTTACTGCTTAATTTACAGGTCATGCAAGCCATTCAAGTCATACCAGCAATACGTTTTCCCAGAAAAAGGCTCTTACATGATCAAACACTACTGCCAGAAAAAGACAAAAATAAGGGTAGAAGTAAAGTAATACAACATACCAGATGGTCACAATCACCTAACAGTGCTTAAGGAGGGAGAGTCATGTAGAAAGCCATGTTGTACTCCCTGGGGTCTTTGCAAGTATAGATGCAGATGAACAGCCAAGGCACTTGGGCCAAATGGTGGTCCACACCTCACTAATTATTTAAACGAAAATCACTGTACCTGAGCCACCCAGCTTAACAGCAATTATATGAGGATACTCAGCCCATACAGACTGATGTGAGACGCTGAAGAAAGGGAGGTTGAAAATGGGTTAAACATTACGATAAAATCATGCATTAAAAGAATCAACATGTCTCACACTAAAATTATCCTATTGTATAACTAGGATTCCATAAATTTGGATTTATTTAACAGCTGTCTGCTTACACACCTAAGAGCAATTTAATAGCAGCTTCAGGTATTTCCCATTTTTCTACAAGCTATGTCTGTGTTAATATGCCCGATAGAGAGAAGGTTAATACATGTTAATTGCCTGCTCATTATGAAATGTTAACAGATGGTGTGACCCATCACAGCAAGGACGAATGGTACCATTGTGAAATAGTTTTGATATGAAGAGTCAGGTATGCCAAAGATTAATATACTTGGGAAAACAATCAGAATAGTTGGTTCACAAGAAGTGGCAGGGCTATGCTATATATAGGCCTGGTCATTGTTGTCATTCAAGTGCTGCTATTACTTGACTAAGCATAATGACTAAGCATCTCTGGAGGCTCACGGAATCCCATGATTTGGAGACCAACATCCATATCCAAAGGGCTACTTCATAATAGCAAGCCAAGCTTATTTCACACCTTTAGGGCAGGTTGTATGGAGACTTTTATTGCTACAACTGCAACATTTTGCTGTAAGAACATTTTGAGTGAAGTAAGGCTTTTAAATATCATTCATGGTTCAATTTTAGGACAATATAGATTTTAGCTTCCCAGCCATCAGAAATGTTTGAAATTAGTTCCAGCTAAGGCAGAGCTAGCAACGGCTACTTATAACTTGCACATATCATAAAGATTTTAGGGAAAAAGCAAGTGCTTGGCGCCTCTGAGACAATAAAGATGCCTTTCATACAAATGAGAACATAGTAAGATAGCAGTTTATGAATTCCATGTTTGGAGGACACCTAACACAGTCTGTTAGTAGATATATATTCAAGCCATGGATGACTGAATCTATGGATACAGAGGGCTTACCACATTCCAAGTCGAGTCTTGCAGA